AAGTTCCTCGGAACGACCATAAACTACGTAATTCGGCGCAATACTGCTGAGTCTATTATAGATTTAACAGTTTTTAGTAATATATACTGTTAATGTCAAAAATTGACCCTCTATTAACTCCAATTAACATTCTCGCTGCGATCGATCAAATGAGCGGAAGTCGAGGGTTCATTTTGTAAGACACCGCTGACATATCGATGACTCATCTGGTTAAGGTCGATGTTATCTAGTGCCTTCCTGCGTGGAAATATGCGCAACGCACTAAAGTTTTCATGTGACGTAATCCCAATTTGTTTTCATGTGACGTAATCCCAATTTGTTTTCGAAGAATTACATTTATAAAACCCCGGAAACCCATACTACGAACAGAGCACGTTACTTGAGTGCGTTGAATAATGAATTTCTGGTCCAACCAACAAGAATGGAAGGAAAAAACTCTTATTGCGTTGTAAAATGTGTCATAAACGAACAATGCAATCGTTGGAGTCTATCTTTTTGCAGAGCTATTAAAATGCACGAACTCGCATGGAAATCGCCACCCACTAACGCAGAGGTTTAAAATAGAATAATGCCTGGTAGCGACTTTCGGTGAGGTGAACATCGGCATTTGCCGACGCTTTCCCATTAAAATACAATATATCTTTCTAGGCCACAATCGGTCATATTTATTTGTGAACGTGGACGTGGTGGACGTGAATAGGAAAAAAAACAGACGTACGGTCCATGTCTCCCATTGATCCAATTAATTGTTTTACATTTGACACATTTCTACTAAAGATCTGTTGTTTTGCCAAGTTGGACATGAATAGGAAAAAACGGAGTGCTGCGACAATGCCGTTTATCTTGAACCGTGAAAACAAGTTTTTTATTCCCGAAAAAAAATCGACTGTGTTGCAAATTCTGTTTGACTGTTTGAAATGTTACAATGTCACATAAGGCTATTCCTGTACAATTGTTCGGTCGGTCGGGCAAGAAAAAATGGCATTGGGTTTGTGGAGTGATTTTTGGTTCTGTTTTGAGGATATTTTCCCTGGTATTTCGATTCAAGCTTTCTCTGTGATCTATTTTTTCGTGGTTTCTGATGTAAATTTACTACTTTTAACATCAAGCAAGAAACTGGACAGTGTATTCCATATCCGTCTTTTGCGGATTTTTTTTTCTTTAAATATACATATAGTGTACACTCTTTTTTTCTTTTTTTGAAAGTTCGCATAATCGGTCTGCTTCGATCTGATCGCTGTTCGTGAATAAAGGCTCCCCTTTCGTGCAAAATAGGAAATAATCGCTGAAGCCATTGTGAAGAAAGTTTTTGCGCAGACACCTCTGATTTCTGTTTGAAATGCACACTAGGGATAAAGATGTGTACAAAATTAGTTTCGCCACATGACTTCCTATTGTCCCAGTGCCGCCATCAACTGCGCCGATAAGTGTTGGTTTTGCGTTCCTTTTGTGTTTCAGGGTGTTTCAAATATCTGCAGTGATACACTTTTTAAGCTGCAGAACATAACGTTAACTAGAACCACTACGTGGAACTTACCGGGGCCCAGTGGGATACGGGATTGCATAGATATAGTTTACCTCTCGCACCCCTCCCCCCTCCTCTGTGGAGGCTAATACTTAGTCTGAATTAACTCATGCAGAAGAAAAGCAACAAAATGCATGAGAAAGGAGGATGTTGTTGTAAGTTTGTTCAGTGTTATTACAGCTAACGGTCTGTGTTATAGTAGTGTTTTTAGTAACACTGTGATGTCAATAAGTGTGATCTGTATAAGGTTTTCATTTGTTTTTAAGTTTGAGTGAAAAAGCAAAAATCACTGACAGTTTTGGGTTGAATGGTAATGACAAAGTTTGCAAAGAAGTTTGTTACAGAATTATCACAATTTCACATTTTCTCAAGTACGTTATCATCAGGTTTATCATTGAGATTTATTAATCACATTTATCTATTTTTTTTGCGAAAACACTGTGAATTTGAAATGATAACAGACATAAGACATTTTTGAAATAGATCTTTGTGGTCATGGATTGTTGTCTTGCACTGTAAAAAAATGTCATCCAGTGTTATATACAGACATAATAAAATGCTTATTTATTGATGACTGAGTATCATTTGTTAATTCATTGCACATTGAAATGGAGGCACTTGATTGTAAGGCAGTGGTTGATACATAGTGGCATTCATCAATATGGCCTATAGTAATTATTGTAGAGGAAGTATTTCTTTCCTGAACTGGGTAAACAGTAGTATATCTGCAACTGCTTGAATGAAAAGTGCATCAGCCCATGTACCTTGAATACACATATTATTCAGATATCTTATCCATGAATTTTCGGTATTGCTCTCAATAAATCTCTCAGGATTGTCTCTCATAAATTGAACCCCAGCAGTACGTGTATGCATGTGATGGTTGCTTTTGCCATATAATTGATGTGATACAGATCTAAAGAAACAATCACCTGCACCGCCAACATCTATTGATTGTAAACAAAGTGCACCTAATCTTGACTGCATCAAATTCTCAGAGGAAATAGGAGAGTTCAACTGCATTGGTTGAGGTCACACTAGAGAAAGTTTACTATAGTAAACTCAAGTTTACCATAGTAAACGGCGCCGTAAGTGTGACCGGCATTTTTCAGTTTACAATGGTAAACTCTACCCTGGTTAATTTCCATGACTACCGCGGAAAGAACAAAGATGACCCATCACCGATAACCATCTGGTTACCAAAAAAAATAGGTGGGTATATCTCTAGTCTATCTAAACTTTGTTTGTTTTGTTGACAGTTTGTCATGAGTTTTGAGGAAAGTAGTTTCAAAAAGGGTCACATAACAGAATAGCTTTAGAACATCGGTGATTGCTTTTTCCACAGTGCTTGAAGGTTTCTGTTTCTGTACATTTCTTCAAACCATTCCTGGAGTCGAGGTTAAACCCACGCTTGCCTTCGCAATGCCGCTCTTTCTCTAAGAATACGTCTTCGATGAGTAATCAATAAACCTGTCACTAAAACATCTTCACTAACTTCGTATTCGAAACCAAGGTAGGTAATAAGGGAGCGCATTCTTCTTGCTCGTCTGAGCAGCAGAATTAAAAGCAAAATGCTCACAACAGAAAATACTACTCTCTCACATTGAAGCATCTTTGTACACTTGTGAGGATCACGCTCAGGAAGTTACAGTTCAGTAATTTCAATTTAGTCAGCTCTCATAGCAGGTCATCATTTGTTTTACTTTTCACTCTCACGTTACCGATCACGCGAGAAAAAACGCCTGGAAAGTTTCAAATGCCTTTTTAAGTGGACCTGTCAGGTTTACTACGGTAAAGAAGACGTTGCGAGACTTACCATAGTAAAGCCCTTTTTACCATAGTAAAGTCTCTAGTGTAACCTCAACCAATGTTGAGCTGCGATTTTGCATAGAAGGTCTAATTATTACTTCATGATGATCAGTGTTGTATTGAGTAGGTCCTGGATTCTTCTCAACATCTTTACTTAGTTTGAAATTCACATAATTGGTCATATGACTCACACAATTGCAAGAAAACAATGATAAAGATCGACGTGCTTTACATTATTTTTAGTTTCATTATCCTGTGATAATGCCTGCTAAAGAAAGACAACAAATAAGTTTTCTTGGGTATAGCCATTTTATTTAAGTTAATTATCTTTGGATCGCGTTTGTTATTACATTTATATCGTGCATGATAAAGTTTTCTCACCTTATTAACATAGCGATGGAGCTTTGAAGTCTTCGGTATGTCAATCATTGAAATCTTTTTGAAGACAAATTTTGATAAGTGTTCGCTTTGATTCTCGATAAATTTCACGATGGAAGGTTCACTCAATTTCTCGATAAGTTTCACGATGGAAGGTTCAGTCTCAGAAGTGATCGCTCGTAAATTTGTCTCTCCAAATATTCACTCTTAAATTTTCGCTCATAAACTAGTTGGGTTGGGGGAACGTGTCGTTCCCCCAAAAAAGCTATAATCTTTCTCTTGACTGTCCTCCATGCCTCTTCTTTTCAAAATGGCGGATAAGATTTCAATGAGCCAGCGATATATCTCAGTCAGCGATATATCCCTAACAATGTAACGTTGAAAAAACGGACGGTCTGCATTTTAAGACCGGTGCCAGCCTTCGGCTGGGCCCCGGTAATTATTGCGGCGCGACTCGGGCGATAGCATCAACCATCTAAATTATCACCCTAGCTACGCACCTACGTACCTATGTCACGATTTCCGGTGTCGGTGATTATCGATGACTTGTATTTTAAAATTTCATGGCGAGTTTCTGCTTCATTGAAAGCACGACAATTCGGTGGCATACAGTGGGATAGCTTAAAAAAACAAGAATCGGTGAAATATCCATATTCAAACTACCCCACTGAACAGCCAAGCAAGGCAGAGAAGAGGCAGACGTGACTGAAATATAAGCCGCGAAGCAGGTAGTCTGCTACACAGCCGTTTTTAGTGTCGTCACGTTGCGTGACGACACTCGAAACGGCTGTGTAGCAGACTACGAAGCAGGGGCAGTGCATTGAAAACACTTTTTCGCTTGTCCAGAGTACTTTCAAATCTCTAGTAATGCATTCTAAGCGGCGCTATAAAAGTTGTATCTGTTCGGTCGTCCTAGGGCGACTTGAATCTTTTCGCCTAAGCTCTATGACTTTTTTTTTAGGCACAACCTGTCTACCTTCACAGGAAGGGAGAAGGTTCTTTACTTTTAAGCGAATTCGAATGTCCACGTACTATTTTAATTAAACAACAACAACAACAACAACAACAACAACCCTCGACCCTTGACATGGCACCCTCGCCCTCGACATGGAACCCTCGACCCTCGACCCTCGACAAAAAGATAGACTCAAATCTAGCATATATGTGAAGTGACAGTCGTTTGAAGTATGCAAATTTTCAGTTCTTTTGTTTTGATCGCTTTTTGTCAACCATAAATATTGCGTAACAGTGATCGTGACGTCACGTGCACTGATATCTTCGCTATTAGCGAACCAATATTAACACATGACGATGATTTCGACACCGAAGTACACACCAGGAGTTTGGCAGAACTCAGCAATACAACGAGTTTATTGGGGAAAAGCAGCCGAATCCCTAACAAAAGAAGTCGATATACTGAAAGCTACGAAATGTTTCATAATCGCCAGCGAGACGCTTGCTACGAAAACGGATGAAATTCAGAAGTGCGAGAAGGCTTTGGGCACAAAACACGCTGGGACGTGGTACGGAATGCGCTCGCATTCACCACGGGAGGATGTGCTGTCAGCTGCGTCTGCCGCCCGTTCTGCTGGGGCCGATTTGCTTCTCAGCATCGGGGGCGGCTCGGTCACAGATGGAACTAAAGCCGTCAACTTGTGTTTGGATCAAAACATCACCGATATTGAACAGTTGGACAAGTACATCGTGAGGAAGTCTTATTTCGAAACTCCGAACTGGGTCCATAAGGGGAGTATATCCCAAATTGCAATTCCAACAACTTTGAGCGCCGGTGAGTTTACACATTTTGCTGGGGTGACAAGTCGTCAACTCGGCGTTAAACAAGGTATTGCTCACCCAGGGTTGCAACCTATCTGCGTCATCTTTGACCCAGAATTAACTCTTCACACCCCTGAATGGTTATGGCTGTCAACAGGAATACGTTCTGTTGATCACTGTACAGAAGCCATTTGTTCAATCAACGGTGGCTATTTGTCCACTGCCGTTGCATCCGGAGCTCTTCGCTTGTTGGCTAAGGCTCTCCCAAAGACCAAAGCAGATCCAAGTGATATCGATGCCAGACTGCAATGTCAAATCGGATCCTGGCAAGCAATACAAACTCTAATGATGGGGGTGCATTATGGTGGAAGTCACGCCATAGGACATGTTCAAGGAGGCACTGCAAACATCCCTCATGGCTACACATCGTGCATAAATTTGCCTTACATCCTTGAATACAACCAGCCTGAAATAACTAACAAGTGCTCAATTGTCGCCGAATGTCTCGGAGCTGGACCAGGAACTTCGGCAGCTGAGGCGATGGATGCCTTGATTCGTGGCTGTGGAATGCCTCGCACGTTAAGTGATGTCGACTTTCCGATGGACAAGTTTGAGTTGGTTTGTGAAGTGAGCATGAAAGAGCCGTGGACACATTGTAACCCACGCAAAATTGCATCCCCTGAAGACGTTAAAATCATTATGTCAATGGCTCGAGATGGCAAACCAAACAAAGAAGCAATGCAGATGCTGAGAGGAAGTGCAAACAAATAAACAGGCATTTTTTCTTCTTTTTGTTCTGGCGACAAATTCACTGTATATAAAAAAATAGTTTCTGTGTTTAAGGCATAAAAAAAATGAGGTGTTTTGTATTGAGGAGTATAAAATACAGGAATTAAAGACGGATTCCGCTCAAAGTTCGAGCAATAAGTGCAAAAATTATTTACTAAAAATCTACTCACAGCACATTACCTTTTTGAATACTATTTGAAACCTCTCACTGTAGTTCATTTCTCCAGGTGTCCCCGCGATTAAATCCCCAAGCATTCTCGAGAAATTTAATGTCAAACCTCGTGAGAATGCTTCATGCGTGTGTTATTGTGTTTTCAACTAACGCGAAATTAAACATGCATTTTAATTGAAATATGCATAACTTAAAGTTCAATTATTTCTCGCGGGGTCAGCTTGTGAGCTTAAATCTCGATAAGATCTTTTTACCTTTATTAAAAATAACGTTTTTGGTAACTTAATTTTTGCCATTATTGCTCGAATGTTGTGCAGAAATCATCTTAAATGTTTTGCAAACTAATACTTATAGTCATCTTGTAATTCGCTAAAAATATGCTAAAGCTGGGATTAAATTTATGTACATCGCCACACAAAGTTTCCTTCATTCATGATTTACTTCATCAATCATCGGTTGAGGTGACACTAGAGAAAGTTTACTATAGTAAACTCAAGTTTACCATAGTAAACGGCGCCGAAAGTGTGACCGGCATTTTTCAGTTTACTATGGTAAACTCTACCCTGGTTAATTTCCATGACTACCGCGGAAAGAACAAAGATGACCCATCACCGATAACCATCTGGTTACCAAAAAAAATAGGTGGGTATATCTCTAGTCTATCTAAACTTTGTTTGTTTTGTTGACATGATTTTTGAGGAAAGTAGTTTCAAAAAGGGTCACATAACAAAATAGCTTTAGAACATCGGTGATTGCTTTTTCCACAGTGCTTCAAGGTGTCTTTTTCTGTATGTTTCTTCAAACCATTCTTGGGGTCGAGGGTAAACCCACGCTTGCCTTCGCAATGCCGCTCTTTCTCTAAGAGTACGTCTTCCATGGGTAATCAATGAACCTGTCACTAAAACATCTTCACTAACTTCGTATTCGAAACCAAGGTAGGTAATAAGGGAGCGCATTCTTCTTGCTCGTCTGAGCAGCAGAATTAAAAGCAAAATGCTCACAACAGAAAACAATACTCTCTTACATTGAACCATCTTTGTACACTTGTGAGGGTCACGCTCAGGAAGTTACAGTTCAGTAATTTCAATTTAGTCAGCTCTCATAGCATGTCATCATTTGTTTTACTTTTCACTCTCACGTTACCGATCACGCGAGAAAAAACGCCTGGAAAGTTTCAAATGCCTTTTTACGGTAAAGAAGACGTTACGAGACTTACCATTTTACCATAGTAAAGTCTCTAGTGTGACCTCAACCAGTGAGGAATAGGGACCTTGTCAATAAGTTTGATAACAGTGAGAACGTCTTCTAAAAACGAAATTTCTGCAACCAGTTCTTGATTCTCGCAAGTCGTTTGGCTTGCAAAATATGTACTTATTAAGTTGGCATAAGCGGTTTGGAGATGGAAAGAAAACAATGAAAAATTGTCATCAAATGCACGCGTCGTCCATGATAGATAGAGGAAGCAAACACACAAGCCTGATGCTCAACATATGCAAAATTGCCCGCGCATAGCAAATTATGGAAGGTCTTCTTCATTGGAAAACAATTTAGTAAACACAACTGATCATGTTTAATAGTCGAAATCGAAATTGCTTACTGACAAAAATATTCCCGCGTCTCGGGTTACTTGATGGTGCAATAAGATCACGTGACTACAATATTACGCAGACATCAATAAATTAACATAAATTATATAAAAATGTTCACAACACTCCCCAGGGTTGCATCACGACTTCGTGATAAAACGCTTTGACTCAACAGTATAAATCTTGAATGTCCACTATTCAAAAAATGTCAAAAGAGCTTCGTCGTCTACAAAGTTCACTGTTTTGATCAATTTTGAATTCATCTCATGTACAGTTCAGTTCAATGTTCACTCAGAAACTTCAACAGGAATTAAGTCCTGTATCACTCTACGTAAGGGACGGACCATTAGAAAACTTATGGGGGGGGCGGGCGAAGTACAAAAAAAAAATTCGCGCAAGGGAAAATTAAATGAAAAAAAATTCTTGCAAGCCAATTAACCCCTAAGAAATATTCATGCAAGGGCCTGAAAAAAATTCATACAAGGAATTTGATACCGAAAAAAAATTCCTGCAGCTCGAAAATTCCCCTCCCCCCCCCATAACTTTTCTAATGGTCCGTCCCTAATACTTGTGGCTTTCGATCCCCTTTGCCAGCAACCTTGACCTTTGCTGATCGAATCTGACCATCTCTACCCGGTAACAGTTCTTGAACCTTTGCCAGTTTCCAAAATGTTCTTTTCGTCAGATCAGACTTCACGATCACAATGTCACCTACTGAGATTGGGCTCTCCTTGTTTTGCTTCTTACATCTCTCATTAGAGCGCTCTCGTAGACTCAAAAGATACTCGTGCTGCCATCTCTTGGTGAACTGATGCAGTAATCGTTGGTGATGCTTAGCTCTCTTTGTCAAGGTCTGATTAACACTAACAACTTCGAAATGCTGGTTACTTGGTGCACTAGTAATTCGTCTACCAGTAATTAGATGAGATGGCGTAAGTGGAGTGGAAACTGACTCTTCATCATCATAGACATATGTTAACGGTCGTGCATTTACGATTGCTTCGATCTCCACCGTTGTGGTTTGTAGCTCATCATAGTTCAACGTAGAGCGTCCCACTGTTTTCTTCAATGGTTGCTTTCTTCAGAGAGCGGTGCATTGTTTACTCTCCCCTTGCATCTGATGATTTGTTGGTTGTCAAGGAACAAGTTGAATTGCGTGACATAGACGGGTGGAAATGTTCCCCTTTTGCTTTGAAGAAATTCGAGTTCTTTGGCAAATGAGGCTTTCTGTACAGTCTTGATCCACAGCATTTCAGCTTGATTTAACTCTTGAGCATTAAGTTCCCTTTTTGACGAATGTTCTGGTAGCTTGTGAGTTTCACGGTTTGATACACTGTTCTTCGCAGTACCTATGAACCGTAATAGGTAGGCTGTCACGCGGAATAATCGTGTTACACTGCAGTATCGTTCAATGTCAATGACTTGACTGAGATTGATTGAATGGTCTTCTGACTCTGTCGTGACCAGAGAGTGCGTGACACTCACAGGGCTTCGTCATCAGACAAAGCACTTGTTTGGGGCGACTCAGGCCAATGTTCTCTCACTAACTTCAGAAACTTGGGCCCATTCCACCATGTCTGGTTTTGTGCTAATTGCTCTCCTCCACATCCTCGTGATGGTAGATCAGCGGGGTTCAACTCCCCGGGACAGAAATTCCAGTTGGCTTCGTTAGTTAGTTCTCGTATCCTGCTGACCCGGTGTTGTATGTAAGGTTTCCATGCTTTGGCATTTTTTATCCAACACAGCGTGGTGAATGAATCGGTCCACAAAAATGTTCCTTCAATTGGAAGAACGGATTGTAACGTTTGCTGTGTTGAGTGAACTAGTTGGGCTAGCAATGCAGCTCCTAGCAGTTCCAACCTGGGAATTGACTGACGTTTACTCGGCGCTACTCTCGTCTTGGATGTCATGATGTTGACTTGGATTTCACCATTGCTGAATGCGGTTCTCAGGTACACAACAGCTGCATAGGCTCTTTTCGACGCATCTGAAAATCCATGGATCTGATAGGAGCATACTGCTGACTGCGCTGGTGAGTAATTGGCATAACATCGGGGAACTCGAATGTTCTTCAGAGCATTTAGGTCATTAATGAACGTTTTCCACTTCGCTAAAGCTTCTCCTTCCAAGTTTTCATCCCAATTGACCCTCTCAACACATAAATCTTGAAAAAGGACTTTCATGCTTATTGTAAATGGAGTTAACAGTCCAATCGGATCAAAGATTTTGGCTGACAGTTTCAAAACACATCGTTTGGTAGCTGGAAGGGCTTCTGCGTACTCAATCAACTCAGAGAGGTCATAGCGAAATTCATCTCGAATGACATCCCAGTAAATCCCGAGAATCTTCACCAATTGCTCTGTTTCCAGTTTATCATCTTTGGCACTCGATGACTCTTCTTTCTTGAGATTTTGTGTACTTTCACTTTCTTTGGGAGGGGATTCCCAAACTGACGGTCCTCTTCTTTCTTCATCCTGCTTGATTTTTTCGCGGAAGGACTGACAGTTAGAATTCCACTTACGCAGTGAGAATCCTCCATCTTTCATGATTTCCTGTGCTTTGTCGTACAAGTTCACAGTTTCATTCTCGCGAAACACTCCTCCTGCCAGATCATCAACATAGAAGCTGGAACTTAACAAAGATGTTACTTCTGGTTCCTTTTCTTTGTACTTGGACAGATGGAGTTTTATGGTACTTGCCAGGATAGCTGGACTTGGAGTTAAGCCAAACACAAGCCTTCGAAACTGGTATTGCTTTATTTGCGGACGATCTTTCTCAATGTCATCGAACCATAGAAACCTCAGCATACTTCTGTCTTCTGGGTTGATCTGTATCTGATGGAAGGCTTTTTCGATGTCAGCTACTACAGCAATTGGATACCCTCGAAACTTAACCACAATATCAAATAGGTGTGGCACTAAGTTCGGTCCTTTCTCTAAACACTCGTTAATTGAAGCAGTTGACTTGTCAGATTTGGCTGAACCATCAAATACAACTCTCAATTTTGTAGTTTCCCGGTTCGACCGAATTACGCCATGATGAGGTAAGAAATGCATTGGAGCTTGGTCGTAGTTGTGTTCTGGTACGGCTTCGATTATCCCGGATTTGACTTGATCCTTGATCACATTGTCATCATCTCTCAATAGTTCCTTGTTTTTCTTCAGTCGCGAGTGAAGCTGTCTCAATCTTGTAACACACAATTCGTACTCGTTTGAAGCAGGAACAAGGCCTTCCTTCCAAGGCAGACCAACTTCGTATCTTCCTTCATTCTCATTGAAATGAATACTCTCCAGGAACTCTCCACCATCTGACTGTGACACGGGTGGCTTCTCTCCTACTCCTAATGACTCAATGTCCCAGAATTTCTGCAAGGCATTACATAACTCATCGTTCTCACTATGACTGATGTCAAATGGGCTCAAGGTCA